ACGGTTTCATTGTTGTTGAACGAAAAAAGGAAGCTGTGGTTTGAAGTGGTTGCTCCATTCCTCTGTGAGAATATAATATTTACATTTCACCCCTTTTTTTCCCCTCAGATTTTTGAGAGGATCAAAGTGTCAGAGCAGAAGAAGAACGACAGACCGATTCAAATTCAGGCAAGTTACTGTAGAGGTGCATCTCCAGCATATGTGGCTGTACAGAAAGTGTGAAGCAGCAAACAGACGTATTGCGAGGAGTCGACATCTGTGGCATCGTTTGAAAGGCCAGCGACACACAGTCTGTAACACTCTGCACTGACGCATGCTGATACAAGCGTTGCGAAGGAATCAAAGTGCTGTTTTCTCATCCTTTGTGAATATGAATCATATCACAGATATACTGTCACACCTTCTCTTTGACCATTTACCATGGCAGGCTTTTTCCTTTTTTCAAATTACCCCCCGGACATCCTGCCGTCTCCAAAGCTTTTCAAAGAGCCTTTAGTTTGGCATTTGATTCCCTGCTCTCCTTCTCTTTCTCTTTCATGCAGAGCACCTTGGCCGCTGATGGGGAGCGTTGGAGGAGTCCACGTTCATTCAATGTGCAGAGACATGACGTGAGGAGAGGAGATAAAACAGACTGGATAAAATAAGGACATGAAAAGAGAGGAGACAATGGGAAAGGAAAGGATATAGAGAAGGAGAGGAGATGAAAAGAAGAAAAAAAACGAGGTGAGGAAATTAAAGGGGAAAGAGGAGGAGATGGGCGAAAGAAAGGAGGAGAGGTAACGAGGAGAAAAAATTGGAATGTAAAAAATGAAAAATAGACTTGCATGAAAAAGGGGAGAGGAGATGAAAGTAGAGGAGAGGAGTGAAAAGAGGAAGACGGAAGGAGAGGACAGACGGAGAATGAGAAGCCAGTCGTCCTTTACCCAGGGGGGGAGGCACAGCGTGGGGCGGGGGTGGGGGGGGTGAACGGGGGAGGTAGGCTTCTCATCCTTCTCTCCTCCAACTGAGCCTCCTTTCTCAAGGTCAATCACGCACACAGACACACACACATGCACACAAACATACACACACATGTGTCAGGTTGGCAGACATGGCACACACACACACACACACACACACACACACACATGCATGCACTCATGCACACGTTTTAGTCGAGCTCAAGTAGAAAAGACGCCTTCTGCCTGCTTTTCTCTCTCTGACTCTCTGTACCAACCAGCCAAGTCTCAGTCAACCATCTGGAGATAAAAACACCATTCTTCACACACACACACACACACAGACACACACACACACACTGTGTATTTATGATAATAGACCAAATGCCTCTATTGATTCTTTCTCTTTCTGTCTGTGGTCTGTGTGTGTGTGTGTGTGTGTGTGTGTGTGTGTGTGTGTGTGTGTGTGTGTGCGTGTGGATTAATTTGGTCAAAAATGTAAAACCTCTTGATTTTCAGAAGTCATTCACTGTCTCTTACGTCCCAGGAAACTTATTTTCACAGTAATTTCCACTCTCTCTTTATTTTAAAGACAGATGTCCATAGTTCCATGACAAAAATACACCTACGCTCAATTTTAATAGTGATAATAGAAAAAAATTACTGCATCTTCCCCAAAGTATTAACACTTGAGTAACTCAATGGATCTGAATATTGAATCTGGAAAGGAAAAATGTATGTTACAAAAAAAACCGCAGTGAAGCATTGCAGTTCGATATAATTGGGATACTTGCCAGAGACACTTTTAAAAAAACTAAACTGGCACTCGAAAAAGAACACATACCTTCGCCAAGGCCCAACAGTCCCTTAAATTCGATTAAGTTGCAGCAAATTTCAGACACTCATAGTTATCAGTTCCCTAAATATACCAATTTATTTTAGCAGTTTACCAGGTTACAGTGAAAATGTCAAAAAACTACCTCACGATCTTACAAGGTTAAAGAAAGCGAGTGGATTGTATGGTTTCCTTCTCGGCCCATCTCACATCCCTGCTTAATCCTGCTGACAAACAAACCAATGGACGGGGTCAAGAACAAAGCCTCCTTGGCGGAGATTACAAACTGAATGAATACATGTGCTCCCATAACATAAGAGCTCATTGGATGATTAAAATCCTCATTTGGTGTAAATGGAAAGTGTCCAAAAGAGTCTTGGAAAGTTTGTGTGTTTGGAAAATGACGCTGCATGTTTGTGTCACTGTTCTCCAAAAGACAGAAAACACCAAAAACTTTGACTGAAGCCACTTTCAGGTATCTTCAGTGACTGATGACAGGGCTTTCAATCATATGTGCTCAAGCATGTCACAGCAAGGACGGCTACAACAACACATCAACGGTAATCACCATTTTACTTATCAATCTATATCAAACCTAGACAACCAATACGTCATGAGGAAAGGACAGTGAAGGATGCTTGTTGGACAAATGAAGACATCCTCGCTCTCTTTTAGGGGAGAGCTGGTCTTTCAGAGGGAGCGAGGAAGCAAAAGTTGGATCAGAAAATGTATCAAGGACGTAAAGATACAAGGACACAACACTCAGGAAGAAAATGCACAGAAAGTAATAAAAAGATGAAACGAGATTATAGAAAAAAAATAAAGGATATAAATGCAGCACGGTGGAGCAATCAGAGAAACCATGAAGGGGTTTTGTGCAATCCCGGTCTAATAGTCCTGCACTCTGCATTAAAGCCACACACACCAATTTTTCACATGGAGTTCAATTTACTTGTCACATGGAGCACTACTTAACAGTTGAATGATGCATTCTGCAGCTCTACAGGGAGCTTTACAAAGACTGAACAAAAAACACTGAAATCTAATGAAAGATGCCGACCGGTTGCATTACGGAAAGTGTTTCTGGAGCCTGGTCCATGCTAGAGACTAAAAGTTGGGACCTCTTGGCCTCTCCTGCTTCAACTCTGACCATTGCTAACTCTTCCAAAGAGGAGATGTTTTCAACCACGTCCACTGGTTGGTTGGATTTAGATGTCTGACTGGCTGACTGGTTGGTTATAGTTGGCTGACTGGGCCAATAGAGAACCCTTGGCACAGATCACGACAAAGGAATTTTAATCTGGCGTATTTAGCTAATATCTACAAGTGTGTACAATTGGTGCAGCTCGATTTGTGCCAGTTTCTTCTGCTTTTTATTTTTTGGTTATCCATTTCCTATCTGGTTATTTTTTCAGCTTTGTACTACTGCAGTAATCCCACGGATCATGTAAATTGAAAACTATGCATATTTCAAATAACAAAAAATACCATTTATGCAATGTGAGGTTTTTGTCCCCTGTAACTGAGTCGTGACTAATGGACGATTACCCTGCAAAACCAGAGAACAGCTGAAAATCAGCCGTGTTGAAACGTCTAAGTGCTGAACAGTCTTCCTCCCCCCTCCTGTAAAATACAAAATATTCCTCCCCTCTCCTCTCAGGGTCAAAATTGTCAACCCCCACCCCTGGACCCCTCCTCCCCCCTGTCTTTTTCTTCTTTTTTATAACTAGCTGCAAAATCACTGCTGTTCATTACCCAGGCAGGGTCAATTCCCCAAACAATGTGTTTGGTGTCACAATAAAAAGGGTGTTTTTTATGGTGCGTTGCAGTAAAATGCTATTAAAGAGATAAAACACCGGCAACGAGCATCAGGAGGATTATAAAAGGAATTGCCTTGATAAACTCCACATATCTGCGTGATGACACACCAGCAGCGCTGTCGCCGGGGAGGGGGAGTGGAGGCAGAGACAGGAGGAGCACATGGTCCAAGAGCTTGCACAGATTTACAGTGCCACCAGCTGGAGAGGTAAAGAGAGCAGCCTCCCCTCCTGGCCTGTGTCGAGCTCCGGTTCCACAAGACAAAAAAATATCAATTATAGGAATTCAATTTTTCATTCTGAGGCTTCAAAAGCATAAATTCACTTCTAGCTTCTTGACTGTGTTTTCAGGACTCACTGAACTGATTGATTTCTCAGCGTCTGTTGCTTCCACAAGCTCAGTCTCCTCTTTGTCACGATGATGCATGACAGAAAAACTGTGTCTGTGGGATTTTATCTTCGTTCTCCAACAGTCCAAAGACGTGAAGGCAACTGCAGAGACTAACTTGCTCATAGGTGTGAATGTGTGTGTGATGGTTGTTTGTGTCTCTGATGATCCCCCACCGCTCGCCCCCAGTGTCAGCTGTGATTGGCTGCAGCTGCACGATGCTAAAAGGATGAACTATAATGAACGAATAAATGAATAAGTGAATTTTTGAAAATGAAAATACCCACTGTTTATTTAATTGGTCTTTTGCTGCACTCTGGTGGTGACAGAGAGATCACAGCAGGTAAACAGTGCAGGTTTTACAGATAACATTAATTATAACTCTATTCTATGTCTTTCTAAAAATCACTTTACCTTGCAGCCATTGTTCATTTTTATTATTCATTCATAGGCAGGAGGAGGGAGATGATTGTGTTGAGGCTCGACACAGTGGAGACACAAACTAAATTCTGTTTGTGCTGCTACTGAAATATCTCTTTTTGTGCTAATCGGTTATCGATAATATAAGAATTAGTTTGATTATTGTTAACGCTGACGATAATAATAGGTATTGTTATTTCTTTCTAACCCTTTGTATGATTTGTGTGTATGGATGTGTTGTATTTTCACGTTAATTTAAATAAAGAAAACTATTATTATTATATAAAAGGGAGGATCTATCCAGTGTTAGTATGTCTCCCAATAAAATGCTCCACGACTGCGGAGGAAGTGGTTCAGATTAAATACTAATTTAATTCCCCTGCTCTTCTCACACATTCATAATCATATGAGGCAACTAGAAATAAAATAAACTAATAATCACAATAAAACAGGTCATAAAATCAAGAAATCACAAATATTCAAAGAGAAAAGACAATTTAAAATAAACAGAATCTACATGTTTAAGTTCCAGATACTAATAAACCATAACCATTATTTTAATATATACTTTATTTTTATATCATTATAAACTGCTCCTCGTGAGGTCGTGTGACCGTCGTCGATTGAGGGGGGAGGGGAGGGGGGGGGTGTCGTCGCGGTTCGTCTCTTCTCGGCCTTTTCCGGACATCTCCGTTCGGCCTTCGTGTGTTTCCGCTCGGCGTCGCCATCTGCTTTCTCGTCCTTCTCCAATCTCCGTGTTGTTGTTCCCGGTGACGCGGCGGAGGTGTAGCCTGACGCGGGCTCTTACGTGTCGGCCGGAATAAAAGTGGAGCTCCGGAGGCCCCGGGAGTGACGAGGGGGAGTCCGTACCGGTAAGGACGGAGCGGTGTCCGCGGCTCGGGGAGGGGGGGGACTCGGGTCGCGGCCGCAGACAGTGTCGGTCTGGTCGGGTTCGGCCCGAAGGAAACAAAGAGATCATGGCGCCGCGGCGCGTTTGCAGCGGGATGGAGGGAGGGAGGCTGCGGCTGCATCGGGAGGAACCGAGCCGCTGCTCGGCTGTGACAGAGACGCGGGGAGGGACAGTTAGTGCGGGAACACGTCACTTACCGCAGACACGAGCCGCGATCACACGCTCCCGCTGCGGGGAGAGGAGGGACGCTGCCCCGCGCCGATCTGCGCCGTTTTCCCCCCCTGAACTAAAATTCGAACCAGCGGCTGCGACATTTGCATCATGTCATGTGTTCAGCTCCCGGTTCGATGTGTTTCTGACGGTGGATCCTCTTCCTCTCCCGCTCAGGGTCGTGGGGGTTGTTAATGGGGTCGATCGGCGCTCGGAGGCCTCGCTGTGAAAACATGAACTCGGGCCTGAGAGATTCAAACTAACGCACATCTGCACAGTTTGTGGTTGTTCGCTTTATCCGCCGGGATGTGACCGGTGTGTGCGGAGGAGGGGGCGGTGCCCGGCCATGTGTCTCTGCTGTCACACACACACACACACACACTCGCCAGCTCGGAGAGGTTTTTGAAAAGCAGAGGGAGAAATGCGTGAGGCCAATCATGCAGCACAGGGAAGCTACGCACAGTGTGAGATCACCGAGCTCGTCCCAGATCAACACAGATCAACCTCTTCGCTCACACCACACACAAGTTCAACACACTCACTGCAGCTCTCCATCAAACTTCCATTATCCGATAATAACCATCAGCTCACACTGTGGGATCAACAGTGTTGACATCACACCTGTTCATGGAAAGTCACTTTTTATTGTTCTTTCCTGACATTTGCAGTCACCACCTCAGCGTCTTTGTTTGGCTTTTTTCGTGAGTTAATAGTCTTCACTTGTCAATCTGGTGCTCAATTCTCCTTATTACATTTTAAAGGTTCAGTGTGTAGAAGTTAGTGATATCTAGTGTTGACGTTGCAGCTGAACACCCCTCACCTCCCCCCCTCTGCTTCCAAACATGAGAGAGAAACTGTGGAAGCTTCAGTTGTTATAAAAACTCAGAAGGTGTTTAGTTTGTCCAGTCTGGACTAATGTAAAAAACATGGCGGCCTCCGTAGAGAGGGTCCCCTCCATGTAAATATAAAGTATTTAAATATAAAGGTTCTTTTCTGGGGTAAAGAAAACTACAATTCATACAATTTAGATGAAACATACTAGTTAAAACATCATGAGGATTATTCTACATTACATTTCTGTCAATAGATCCTTTCACCTAAATGTTACACACTGGAGCTTTAAAGCGTCAGTGTGTAGAAGTTAGTGACATCTAGTGGTGAAGTTTCATGTTGCAGCTGAACTCACGTCACACTCCCCTTACAAACATGAAGCTGAACCTAATGGCAGGCTTCAGTTCTCATAAAAACTCAAAAGGTTTAGTTTGTCCGGTCTGGGCTAAAACATGTCATCCTCCATAGATGTAAATATAAAGTGTTTAAATATAAAGGGTCATTCTACGGTAAAGAAAACTACAATTCATACGATTGAGATGAAACACGAGTGAAAACATCACCAGGATTATTTTATGTTAACTTTTTATACATTAGAAAAACATTAAATTGTCCTTTTCATGCATTCAATATAAACAGAAATTTAAAGATTTCACACAATCGCTTTTTAAAATATCTAATTATATATGTAAGTTGTTGCAGAAGTACACTCCACTAAATACAGAGAAGAACCATGAATGTACATGGGATGGATCATTTATTCTTGAGATCACTTTGTTGTAAGATGATAAACGAGTCTTGTTTCTATTTCGCTTTGTCGTTCCTAAAATTTGGATAAACATGGGCTCAGATTTCTGAGATTCAGACGCACTTTTGTAATAATGCAAATCTATTAAAGTAGAATGATTCAGTGCAGCTTCCACAAAGTTCACTAGTTTTTTCCTAATGTGTAGTTACACACAAAGCACACGTCCCTGAACTTGTGGCACGTGAACCGTCAATGATCCTGGTATTAAAGTTCAGTTTTAACAGCTTCTGTTCATTTCTCCTTCCTCAGCTCGGCCGATGAAGATGGAGTCAGCAGAGGCTCAGCAGGAGACTGCTGTGACTGAGACCGAAAACCAGCACATCACCTCGGCACAGATCGCAACTCTGGCACAGGTAACGTATGGCGTTAATTACCCCTGATCCCTGACGGTGCGAGTTGTGTTTCCTTAAAAACATGTTCACTCAGCGAAGTAAGGTTTTTATCTGTATGTGCTGTTGAGGGTCAGGACGTGCAGCAGTTTGAAAATACCAGTTTTTACCGTCACAAATGTTCTTGAAATATTAAACTTCACATGGTCACGTCTCTTTTTCGAATTACAGGTATCCATGGCAACAGGCCACGCCTCAGTAACAGGTCCCACGGTAACGCTGGTCCAGCTTCCCAATGGACAGACAGTTCAGGTCCACGGTGTCATCCAGGCTGCACAACCCTCTGTCATCCAGTCCCCACAGGTCCAAACTGTACAGGTGGAAACCTTCGTGCTGTAGTTATCCAGCCACGGCATAAAGAACTTTATTAAAAGTTTAGTTTGATGTGTTTGTGTGTGGTTTGTCTGTTTGTTCCAGATCTCCACTATAGCAGAGAGTGAGGATTCACAGGAGTCAGTAGACAGTGTGACCGACTCTCAGAAACGCAGGGAGATTCTGTCACGACGCCCCTCGTACAGGTATTTACTCTTTTATTATTTGAAATTAGTTTTTTATTTGCCTGTAGGCAACATAATCAGCCCTTTTTTGCCCCATTTGGCTTTTTGCTTTCTATTGGATTTATCTAGTTTACAGCAAACTGTGATGATAGTCATCTCGATGTTGGAGGTTTATCAAACTCACATAATGAAAATGTGTAGACGTGCTCTTTTAATTGTTTTTCAGTGAAAAGCAAAAATAGTGAGAATTTTCTGTGCCGGGTGTGAAATTATCATCACACTGTGGAGCTGATGATTCCACATGAACCAGTTTGACATTTCTCTGTAACTACAGCCTCATATGAATAAATCCCACGGCTGTTTTCCCATCAGGAAAATCCTGAATGACCTTTCATCCGACGCGCCGGCTGTCCCTCGTATCGAGGAGGAAAAGGCTGAGGACGATGCATCTGCTGTGGCTGCCACCCACGCCATTACAACTGTGACTGTCCCCACGCCCATCTACCAGACCAGCAGCGGCCAATACAGTAGGTGATAGTTGGTTTGGTGGAGCTGAGGCTGCAGGTTGATTGAATTCAAACGTGATAGTTGGGGTAGTGAGTATTGTTTCCATGGCAAATGATCCTTCTGTGCTTCTGCTTCCCCTTAAGACAAAAATAGAAACGTGGCGATGTCTCGGCTGTTGTTGTCTGGCTTTGTGTTTCTTTCTCGGTGCGGTGTAAGGAACTCATTACTTTATTCATTTAAGCACCTGTTTGTTTTCTCAACATTAGTCTGTGGAGTTTTTCTGGGGTCAGCATATCACACAAATCAAGTAAATATGATGCAATACATTTTGTCTGAACAAAGTGTAAGAAATAAAACTCTAAATCTAAAATCAAAGCAGAGCTGGAGAGCAAATCATTTCCTGGCTGCTCTGTTGTTTGCTGCTTTGGCTTTCCACCCAAAGTGCAAAAATTAAATTTGACTGTTTTTTTAATCTGAATTTAACAAGGTTTTAATTTCTCCCCGTCATCTGTCCCTCTCTCTAAATCACACAGTTGCCATCACACAGGGCGGGGCCATCCAGCTGGCTAATAACGGTACAGATGGAGTCCAGGGCCTTCAAACTCTGACCATGACCAACGCCGCGGCTGCCCAACCCGGAGCCACCATCCTCCAGTATGCACAGACCAGTGACGGCCAGCAGATACTGGTTCCCAGTAACCAGGTGGTGGTCCAAGGTGAGTGTGTGGATCTGTGTTACCTTTGATTATAGCCATTTTATTTGTAAAGTATTTCTGTCTAATCAGGGTAATCTTCTGTTTATGGCAGTAAAGACAAAATGCTTCTGCTCCTGTTTGTCAGTAAACAAGCAAATTAAACACCGATCGTTTTCACCAAGGGTCAAATTTAACATCCGCATTCCTCCGTCTGCACCTTTCAGCTGCCTCTGGTGACGTCCAGGCGTATCAGATCCGGGCCGCCCCCACCAGCACCATCGCCTCTGGGGTGGTCATGGCCTCTTCACCCGCCCTGCCCACCCAGGGAGGCACTGAGGAGGTCACTCGCAAGCGGGAAGTCCGCCTCATGAAAAACAGGTTGGAACTTTACGTGTTAATAATTTTATTTGCGTTGGAAATTTCTCTGCGTCTGCAGCTGCTGCCGTCTGGAACTACGACCAGAATAAGTCTAGTATAACACTCGTGAAGTTTTTTAGTAGGAACACATGGATTTTTACTTATTAATGCAGTTATACAATACGATGTGTAAAAGCCTGCAGATCAAATGTGATCTCAGGGACAGATGATTATTGGTAACCACTCTTTACTGTGGTGAGTTGATCATCTTCAGCTGCAGCAGACCATGTCGAGTTTCTCTCACAATGAAAAACCTGGTGAGTAAAAGTAAGAAATAATAATATGAATTTAAAAAAACAATTAGTAGGGTTTCAGGTGATTTATTATAAAATTGAATTCCAACTTTTCATTGGGTATGACTGTTGCTCCTCGTTGGTTATCCATTCTGAACCATAAACTCCCAAATCGCCCCAAAACCCTAGAAACCAAACAAAAACCCAGATTGTGTCTTATCGTCCCTACAGAGAAGCAGCCCGTGAATGTCGCAGGAAGAAGAAGGAGTATGTTAAATGTCTGGAGAACCGAGTGGCCGTCCTGGAGAACCAAAACAAGACGCTAATTGAAGAACTCAAAGCCCTTAAAGACCTTTACTGCCATAAATCTGAGTAGTTCATCGTACTGAAAACACCAAACTGGGCCAAGTAGCATTTCAGTTCCTTTCAAATACTTTGACTGTTTAATTCTGCCTGTCTGGCCTTCCAGTTTACACACGGCTGGCTCTTACTGACCAAGTTGCCCTAATTCAGTTCTGCTTAAACTACTTCAGTAGTCTGTCGGCATAATAAATTTAAAACAGACATTTTTACAGCGAAAACAAACTGAAAACAAACTTTCATCCAGGTTGGACGATGGATGATCCCAAAGTGCCAAATGAAACTTTATGAAACAGTGACATCTTTTACAGGGTAGAATCAGCTGCTGGCAACAGTTAAGATGTTGCTTCACACTGATTTGTCAGTGACGCTGCGTCTAATTGTCGTAGTTTTGGTATTAATACCCACATAACTAAGATTGAACTCATCATCCAAACTAGAACCTGACTGATGCAGAGTTTTGGGGCTAATATATCAGACAAGATATTTATTTTGAAAAATAAATATATATACATCTTAGGCACCAAAATCTAATCTTTGTGGTCGAGTGAAAGTTTGCAACAAATTTGAAGACGTTCCCTCAGGCTGATCTTAAGATGTCAGCAAAACATACTTTGTGGGGAAACTTTGACCTTTGACCTTTGGCTACTGAAATCTAATCAGTTCATCCTGAAGTACAAAAGTGAATATTTGTACAAGATTAGAGGACGTTCTGTCACTGGCACAGAGGCATAAAAACTAAATAGAAATACCACCAAATAAAAGTAATGAATTTTGATAATAAACATATTTTGAAAGTAAAATGGAAACTTAGATGCACGTCTTTGCTGCATCGTTTATTCTTCAAAATAAAAAATGTTCATATTGTCAAACACAGATACTGATTTGTCTGTTAAAGGCTCATATCGGCCAATTTTTATCAGCCAACCAATAAATCAGTCCGGATCTAATCCTTGAGCAATAAACCTGCCACGACATAGTTCCACTCTCCACAGTCACAGTCACGTTCCACCTTTGGTTAAACCTTTGGTTAAACCTTTCGTGAAACCTTTCGTTAAACTCTGGCATCTGTGTGCTGTAAAATGTGCTGCACTGCATAGTTCTGCATTTTTATTCACGTCAGGTAACAAGTAGTAAAGAGATATTTTAGTTGTTTTTTAATCCTGTATTTTCTTTGGGTTCTAAGCGATACACAAGCCAAGTTTGAAGTCGATAAACGTTTCTCTGTTAATATGGTTTAATTGTTGAAAGGATTTTAAAAGCTCAGACTTCATTGGCCTCATGTGACTCCAGTAGAGTATTTGTGTTTTATATTGTATGTAAGCAATAACGGCCACTACCTGCTGTGGTTGCCTGCAGTTTGATTTTACTCACGCTATGATAACATGTTATGATTTATCATTTTACACAAATCTGCCAAATATTCGTAACTGAATATCCACAGTGATGAGTTCAGTTTTAAACAGAATTCCATCCACAACTACGACAACAAGACGCAGCTTCTAAACAAAGTCATAAAAGATTCATTGACTTTAAGTACTGTTCTAAATTGTGATCGTTGTACATGTCAGTGTGTTCAAAAACATATTTAAGTCTCAGTTTGTTTAAAAGCTAGAACTCGTACATGACTGCTCAGACAAGCTCAGTGGCAGTTAAAGCTTTTGAATTTATTGTCTCTACTTGATCCACGTCCGGATCCGAACCAACCTCTCAACAATGCAGCTGCTTCTAACTTGGACTCTACGACTAATTTGGCACAAAGTAATTTCTTTATCGTAACTTCTGAAGATGCTACCAACTGCCGACGGTGAGAGAAGTGACTCACAGACGACAGTGGTGTGTGTGTGTGTGTGTTAGAAGAAGGGATGTTTTGATTTTAATGTTTGTTTATTGCTTGTCCACTACAGAAGGTTGACGGAGCTGCTATTAAAATAAGGTTAGTAGCAGGCTGAAGCACAGTTTTTAAAGAAGAATTGTTTTTACAACCTGGGGTCTCGTTTCGATTGTTCACCAACGTTCCTGTGGGTTCAGTTTAACGTCCAGAAGGCCGGCAGCACAAGGAGCCAGTTTATATAAACAAAATGATTTAGGAGTGAAAGTAAATCTGAATGCTGGTTATTACAAATATTTGTTGTTCCAGAAAAACTTTACAGAACTACTTCCTGTTTTTTGTTGATTGGCTGAACTTACTGCATTTCTGCGCACAAGTACATTTTCATATTACATTTATTTTAAATTTTAATCAACATTCTTGTGTGTTTGGTTTTAATATCTGGAGGTTTGTTTATAACTCACCCACTGTGTTTCCCCCACACATCAGCAGTTCACTTTATTGTCTCTTCACACATGAGATCGATCTCTGTAAGATTTTTTTGTCAAAGATGCAGGTTGTACAAAAACGCACATTCCTAAGTAGTAATGTAATTCCAGCACCAGGGACGTAGTTCTATAAAAATGTTGTTGTGTTGCTGTAAACTGTCGGCGTGGTGTCGAATCAGACAAACACAATCAAACTTTTAATTTCACAGTACGTCTGTTAAACGGTGGTAAAACATGGATTGCAACAAGGAGCCATATTTTGAATGTGGTGTGTAGCAGATTGAATTCTTTATGAAATATAGGCTACAGGAGTTTAACACTAATAATCAATAATCTGTTGGGAGGAGATGGATTTAATGGGACTGTGTATGGTTTTTGAGGAGATGTGTGTACGTATTTGTTTATTTTTTATATCAGTGTATATAGTCTCTACAGCATGTGTAGACCTCATGTATTTCTGTTTATTTGATATGAAAAAAATGTTCTTATGGCTTGTATGAAACAACTTTGAATATTTGTAACATATGTCACTGTATAATAGAGGACGATGTATGTGTATATCCACCAGGCCTACCACCATCATGGCAGCTAAGTGTATGAAAAAAAAAGGCCTTTGTTGGACTTGTTGAATATTTTGGAGTGTTGTACTGTTCCGGATCAACAGTGTTTTGTTTGTAGAGTTTGTTGAGAGCACTTGGGGTCCACGACTTTTTATCAGCTTAAAAATTGACAATTTTATTTGTTGGACACCTGCACAGAGGAGCCCCCCGTGGCTTCAAACTCAGCCACGTGTTTGTTTTTAACTGAAAATGTATTTTTATGTCATAGACCTGAGCAGAAACAGCTCCATCACTTGGCTTTTTTTTTTTTTTATCTGCTCGGTCATCATATGAAAGCACATGTTTTCTTTCCACTGGAGCCCTTCATGTGTTTATTTTTTACTGTGCATTGATTTTACTACAACGTTACATGAGATTCTGACAGTGGTTCCAGTGGTAAGATGGATGTCAGTTTACCAATCCTCAACTTAGATGGCTTTTGATTTCAAACTAACCTGAATCAAAGACAAACTAAGATATCTGATGTTTTGAGGTGACAGATTAAGTTTTCCTGTTTCCTCACTGTTAAGATTTGAAACTTAGACTCACAGAGTCTGGGTTATACTTGTAACTTCTATTCCTGCGCGGCATTAAAGTTGTTTCTTGACATCGGAAACAAGAGGTTTGACCAAATCAATGTAACTCGAGGTCTATTTATTAGCTTTTTCTAGAGCTTTCAAGTGCATCTCTGCAGATGCAGTTCACTCACTTGTCAATGAATGGAAGTGGCGTCATGTGGGTGTGAGTAATAAGCCCTGTCTCTGTTCAAAGATGGTCATCTGACAGCTAGTAAGTTAGTAAGTGGAACTTGAGATAATATTATTATTATATTGTTAGCTAAAAGGAAATTTATGGGAACTACTAGTGGCTCTAACAGTCATTGTCTTTTAAAAAATATATTTTTTCATTTTTGTTTTTCAGAAATCATCTGTTCATGGTAGCTCTTCTGGTTTTATTTTTCTAGCTGAATCATTTTGATATTGTACAATATGTACTTTATGTAGGATAATGAGGAATAAAGGGTTGAATTGGTTAAAGAAATCACACAGCACTTAATACTTGACTCTACTGACCCACAACACGTTAGCATGTACTGTAGCTGTACATGTCATCCGTCAGTCTCTAGACTCAACAATATGCAGAGTTCATCTTTTTTAATGCATTTCACTGGATGAACCGAGTCAGACAACACCCTGCGCCTCACTGATTGTAAAACGTATTTAAGGAGATAGGAAGCAGCGAGTTTGAAACGTGCCATTCCAATACCTGAGTTACTGAGGTGAAAACTTTTTAAACTGTACTCTGAGAAGAAAACATGATTTTCCACCTGTAATTCACACATCAAGTGCTGGTGCTGAATAAAATCTAGTAAGATTTTGTTTTGTTGATTTGACATAGTGAGCTCAACTTTGTGATGTGATGACAAATATCTTCAATCAAAAACCAACAATGTTTTCATTTCTGTGCCAGAATAGTTTATAACCACGGTTCTAAGATCTATGTGCATGAAAAAAGATTGAAATCATTGTGTGTAAAGTATATATATATAGAGAGAGAGAGAATTTCTAGAGCACTGATAACATTTTTCTAACTTTTAATGTGACCAATTTATATATTGCCCCTTTTACAAGTTATCAATTTAAATTCTGTGTATTGTATATTATCTTGTAGAGACAAGATAACTCGATGATGCATTACATCCTGTTTGTTTCAACATTGTTTAAACCGAACCAGCCCCTTAATTGAAAGTGCTGTTACTCTGACATCACTCTTTTGTAAACACTTACTATGTCGCAATAAACTGCTCTTGAAGATAATCACGTTTTATTGTTCATTAATTGTGTTTGAACATTTTATTTATGATAGACGATGATGATGACCTAGGAACAGGTACTTTTTAAATCTGAAAAAGGGACAATTATAAAAAATGATTGCAGTTTTTATTATTCTGCTAGGGTTCACTACATCTCTCGTGATGTTTCATTGTGCAAGACTCATGACAGGAAAGAGAGAGCCCCATTAATAAACTTCAATTGTGAGTTTGAAGATAAACTACTGAATTAGAGATTACATTTTAATCCTAACCTTTCATACTGTGACAAAATCCAACTGTCTGCTGTAAATACTATGAATTGAGTATATATACCTGTTAGATACCGATAAACATATTCTAGTAAAAAGTGCAAGCGAAGTCTTAAAGAGCGAAACTCAGCTAGGTACATTAGAATTGTTCTTAAAGGTTCAGTGTGTAGAATTTAGTGACATCTAGTGGTGAAGTGTCATGCAGTTGCATACCCCTCACCTCACCTGTGGAAACCTTCAGTTGTCATAGAAACTCAAAAGGTTTAGTTTGTTAAAAACATGGCGGCCTCCGTAGAGAGGACCCGCTCCCAATGTAATCACCAATGCTGCGTTCGGAGTCGGATGTTCTAACTTGAAATATACGACTTCAGACTTCCAAGCGTTCCAAACATCTGTCAGAACTCTTTCAGTGGCGTTCCGTTGCACTTTTTCTAGCAGGAGGTCGGAAAAATTCCCACATCCCAGTTGTCTGGAACACGTGTTTAAATATAGAGTTGCTCATTCTGGGATAAAGATAAAACAAGTCGTATAATTCAACGCCAGTGGAAACATCTCCATGTTTTAATGGTTTCATCTCAACTCATCAGGTTGTTTATCACTGATGTCATGAATGAAGAGGGAGGCTTTGATTGACAGGTAGGGGGTGCAATAGGAGGCCGGCTTCAGTGAGAAAGGGTGTGGCCCAGTGACGATTTAAAAATAGCCTCGTTGTGAATGTGTTCCGCTGGTTTAAATCGTCTGTGACTGACAGCTCCTTCAGCCAATCACCGGCTCTCAAACGCCCCGGTTTCATTTCTCCAGCCAATGGGGGTTGAAGTGAACCCCTGCCGTGGGCGGGACTAAGAGGTCTCCGCTGGTCAGCTCCGGGCAACAGATGGCGGCGGCGGCGCGGAGGACACCGAGGAGGAGTCCGGGGCAGCTGACGGAGCCGGTGGCCTGGTGAAGAGCCAGAGGGAGCTTTCTTCACCCTGACCTCCGGGAGGATTCATCAGCCCACACTCCTGGATCTGCCTCTTCTCTCTCTTCACGCCGGTTCCCCTAAGTGGAGGCCGCAGAAGCCTCGGGCTACATTTGGCGACACACCGGGGACCGAGTGCGAGGAGGCGGCCGTGGAATTGTTTGGAAAGTGTCGTGAAAAAATGAATTATCCGGGATTTCCGAATTTGAAGTCGCGACGTATTTATTGTTAAGAGTCGACTGTGCGTGTGACGCGGACGCCAGAAGTGGATTTAATGTGGAGTAGGAGGAGAAAGTTAACTAGTTAGCTAGCTCCAATGCTAGTTAGCTCCCTAGCAGCGAAAAGCCTTGTATGTTGAATGAATGAATGAATGAATGAATGAATGAACGGCCGCCTGCAGTAAACTAGCCTCCGCTTGTTGTGACACGAACTCATCGAGTGTATCGAGGAAGAGGCGACGCGGACAGGGAGAGCCGAGGCCCTCGCACCCTCAGATGGACAGGAATGCGATTCCCTGGAGTCGCACAGCGGCGGTTTAGCTCCCGGAGATAGCGCAGTGCTAACACCGAGCAGAGCCGGGTAATGCCTCTGAGGCTGTGTCGGGCTCGCTTCTGCTAGCAAACACACATTTTTTGCACTACTCGAACTCCGCTGCAGCACAGGGGAGCCCACGCCCTTCTCCCGGTGCGGGATGGGGAACACGGTGTCGTGCTGCGTCTCCCCCGAGTCGAGTCCCAAGCTCCCGTCGAGGCAACCGGCGGAGCGCCTGGAGGAGCTGCAGACCAGCACCGAGGCGAGCGACGACAACACGGTGCCCTACCTGCAGCACATCAGCGACAGAGAGGTCCCCGACGGTAGGCGACGAGTGCACAGCTCCGTTTGACCACAGTGTGTTTGTTCTGTTTGTGTGTGGGTTAGGGTTCATCCTCCATCCAGCCACTGAGAGAAGAGGGATCATGATGAGAAGGAACTTCATGTGACTCCCAAACACGCACATCATGTTCACACACACACACACACACACACTACTGTCACACTACACCTCATGATCGTGTCCAGAGATTATATCACGATAACAATCAGTGTGCATCAGTTATCATCACGTCACATCACATTGCTCCTGAGTGAAGTATGCGGTTTTAAACTCCTCTTTTTGAGCAGAGAATGATAAATACTTAATAAACTGCAAATCATCTTACACAGTAACACGAGCCTGAGGCAGATCAGCTTTGTGTTACTTCCTCTTTGTGTCACACAATGCATAAGCAATATATTGATGGTTGACTTTGTGTTGTTGCCCAGCCCTGTAACAACACGCAACTGTTTTCATATTCAGTCTTTCACAGCTGCAGGGACAACGCACACACACACACACATGCACGCAGAAAAAACTCTCTCCAGCTTTTGCCAAGTGGCTCTGCATGTTTACTTCCATCCCTCTGTCAGCAGAGCTCTGGCGATGATGCCGAGGACATTCTTGGCATTCTGTAGCTGAGCACTGTATCGTATTGATCACACTGGCTTCATATTACCAAGTCAGACGTTAACAATGAAAACAAACCACTCATCTTCTAGACGCCACATTAACCACTCAGCCATTAGCAATAAAAACAATTCTTGCCTGCTCTTTTTATCAACCTCAGTTTTTTCATCATTGCTCATCAGGGAGTGAAATCCTGCAGAAGTAGAGAGGGAGAAACTTCTTTAACCAAGATAAACAAACTGCATTTGAAATGTGCAGCTTATTGATATTATATGTTAATATCACCGTGCCCAAAGTTATATATGATGATTCTGGTCAGTTATTTTTCCAATTTTCAGATGGGGGAGATATCTAGCATAAAACAAAAGAGATTTTTAATTAGATCAGATGTTTTTTTTCTTACGAACTTATGTACCTAATCAAAAACAGCATTTTTCAATGTGACTTTAACTTAACACCACCGTGTCCACTATTAGAGTACAAGTGTAAATTTCATGCTGTGAATCCAGGGTCACAATTTCTGTACCCTCAGCCCCCACGGTGCCACTCCTCACTGACCCCCAGGCATGCTGTGCTCATTCCATTCATGTTGTTGTGGACACTACAGTGTATGAGACCAGCTGTTGGCGGGGCGAGGGTCAAAATACGTCCAGCAGTCCCTCCCTCATTCCTCATGTCTCCTCTCGCCGTCCTCACGTCACAAATGCTGCCACCACCTAATCCCCTGTCTTTTATGTAATGCGCCGTCTGCATGGATTTGGATGAGAAACAATTCTCTAAGTCAAGGCTGGCGGATAATCCAGTGTTCTGTTTGTGTTACAGATGGAACTGCATGGTCAAGTAGTGCAATCAGTAAATTGACTTGAAATAGTACATTTCATTGTATTGTGTCCTCTGCAAGTAAAACCTTTTTAATGTTTGTGGAGTAGTTTTACCAGCCAAAATAATGTAACACAGGGAAAACTGCATTGTCTGTTTTAACTCATCATTTCCAGAGATAGGGTGTGTGCACTCAGTGGCATGTTTGATCTGTACTTCTGTTGACATGTTGTCAGTATAATGCACTGAAATAAACTTTGTTTTATAGAGTTGGCATTGGAGTCTAACCCCTCAGACCACGCCAGAGCGAGCACCATCTTCCTTAGCAAGTCTCAGACAGACGGTGAGCGATCTGAACATGAACTGTCTTTGTTAAGAATGAGTGTGTCAGCAAGTTAACAACATTTATGCAGTTTTCTTATTTCAATCTCTGTTTTACTGTTGTTACGATCCAGATTGTAGTGTTGTAACATTCGTGACCTGCTTCACTGTGGAGCTTGATTAAGTGGGGAGTGTATCACACAGCCACTTGAGCCACAAGCATCTCTAACTATAATAACATACTTCATACTGACTTCTTCATAAGTAACCAGATGTGTAAAAACAGATCTCTCTGAACGTTTCTCTTCCTTTTACAGTTCGAGACAAGAGGAAAAGCAACCACATAAATCATATCAGTCATGTAAGTGTCGACATCTTAATGTTGATCATAAATCTGATTGTTGCTGATTATGTTTGCTAAACTGTATTATCTCAAATAACCTGAATGTGAGTATACACTGTATTTTACCAAATGAATCATACATGACAAGTGGCAGCGTAGTAGCTGCGTAAAGATGGTTATTGCATTCAATTTTCTTGGTTTCCTTGTAAGGTTATATCTTTATATACTCTCACATGCCACATCTGCTGTTGTGCAATATTTAAATCCTCAAATATCTCTGATGTTTAACACTTTATTGCTTTTGCTGGCATGTTTTCAGATGTGTCTTCAGATGTGTCTGCAGCCATTCAGACACCTGAAACCAGTCCAACGAAATCTAGCCATCAAAAATAATTCCTGTCCCAAGTTGTTGATTGTGCAATTTCAATGCCTCCAGGTATCTCCTGGTCCACTGTCAAAGAAATACAGCTCCTGCTCCACGATCTTTATAGACGACAGCACCGTCAGCCAGCCAAACCTTAAAAGCACAATCAAATGGTGAGAGAATCATACACACACACACACACACACACACACACACACACACACACACACACACTTACTCATATGCATAACGCTGTTAAGTCACTAATTTCACATGAGAAAATCCTGTTGCATCACAGCCTGGTAATCCTAAAGTATTACTTAGTGGCTGCGTGACGAAAACAGATGTTCTTACGCCTAATTTAGGAAATTATTCTAGAGAATCTGGATAATCACATTTCATCAGGATTATCTCGGTGGGTTTTCCTTTCTGAATGTGTGTTCAAGTTTTGTTACACCATAAACTTTGACAGACACACACACACACACAGACACACACACACACACACTGTTCTCCCACTCAGATTGTTTTTATTGAAGCTATAAAACGTTTCCCTCTCTTTACTCCCTGTCTCCAGTGTCACATTAGCAATATACTACCACATCAAAAACAGGTGAGTTCACATCTTTAATTTGATTTTTTTTCTTACATTATATCTGGTAATTTATGTTGCTAAATCATTAAACGTGTGAAAACTGATGTATTGTTTGTCGTTCAGGGACTCCGGCAAGTCACTGGACATCTTCGATGAGAAGTTGCACCCCTTATCAGTGAGTATATTGAAGAAGTTTCCACAAACACATTCATGTTTGCCAGTTGTAGTTTCTTTCCCTGCTGCTCATCATTAGAGTCCAAAGTCAGTGTCTCACTCCAGTCGTCTCGATTCACCAAGTCATTTGTCTGGTACTTTGCCAGAACAACCACGAGGCTTTCAGACTCCTTCAATCGTCCGTTCTTCCCTCAGAGGTTTCTGTGTTGCACCATTCTTTACAGAGAGAACCAGTGCCAGACGACTACTTTCACGTAGACCCCGAACACAAACTGATCTACCGCTTTGTCCGAACGCTCTTCAGTGCTGCGCAGCTCACAGCGGAATGTGCCATCGTCACTCTTGTGAGTTGTCGTAAATTCGCTTGAAACTGTTTATTGGTACAAATGAGAGTCAGTTTTTAACAATGCTCGAGTCTGTAAATGTATTTGATATTAATGCAGCTGCCCTGAAATGTAATAAGATATTATGGGAGTTTAGTAAAGTGCACAGCAGTGTTTGCATGTGATGTTGGATTTAGCGGTCACCAGAGGGCAGTAAAGTCATGTGATAGTGATGGATGAGTGTCTGTGTGATGTTAAAACATCACTGAAGGGCTGAGTGACACGGCCAAGATATCTGTTTTTCGATATTGCTTGATAATAATTACCAGTACATACATTTAATGACATTTACTGTGGAAGGAATCACATTCAGTGTGTTTGTTATGTTCTTCTTCCACAAGGTGTACTTGGAGCGCCTGCTGACCTACGCTGAGCTGGATATCTGCCCCGCCAACTGGAAGCGAATCGTCCTGGGAGCCATCTTGTTGGCTTCCAAAGTCTGGGATGACCAGGCTGTGTGGAATGTCGACTACTGCCAGATCCTTAAAGACACCACGGTGGAGGACATGTGAGTTGTTGTTTCTTTTTTTTCAGTTTTGGTTGTAGCAAGACTCAAGACTGGTTGTTACAGGACTAGTTTTAAAGGAGCATCAGGAGAGAAGTTCTTGTCAAAGAACGCAGGGTTCCAAGTTCGTTGTTGCAGAAGAAGTGATTTTTCCAGGAACGTGTTGGGATCCTCCAGTGAGAGATTGAGGATGTGGTCAGGAACATCGTTCACACTGCTTCACTGACACCACAACTCAGATCCCTTTGTTATCTTGTTTGTTATTGATGAGTTTTGGTTTTCAGATCTCCAGTTGTTTGCTTTTTCTATATTAAAAAAAAGTAGATTCTTACAAAATAAAACAGCTGAGACAGAATATTCTTCCCTAATAGAAGAAGCATAACAACAAAGATGCACTTAGAGAAACAGATGGAAGCTGCAGCATCTTTTCTGTCGATTGGTATATAATCCTGTGAAGAGGCCAGGGGCTGCACATGAGGCGGCCAGCCTTTATTTCCTACAATTGCTCTTCCCCCGTGTGTGTGTGTGTGTGTGTGGTGTGGTTGTATATAAAAGAGGTTGGAAGTGCCTCCTTGTTGTTTTGTGATTTGGAAAGGTGCACTGCCTGCATGTGTGTTTTCTCTGTCCGAGAACCCCCATCTCTCTCTCTCTCTCTCTCTCTCTCTCTCTCTCTCTCTCTCCCTGTGTCTCTCTCTTTCCTCTCATACCGCATCATGTCTGACCTACACTCTCTCTCTCTCTCTCTCTCTCTCTCTCTCTCTGCTCTGTTTGCATCGCTGCCATTGAAGTGTCTTTGTGAGCGTGCTTGGGTCTGGATGAAGGGAGGGATGGGAGGAAGAGTAGAGAGAGAGAGACAGAGAGAGAAATGGAGGGGAGGGTCTCAAGTGCTCTCACTCCTTGTACATAATGGCCCAGGCTCTCGCCCACTCCATTAGTTGCCCCGGGAGACCAGACATCACACACACACTCACACTCGCTCGTACCACCTTTGCTGACCAACAAAGCATCCCCGGATGCTGTCTCCTTGGCGACCACCTCCCTCAGCTCTTCTCATTGCTGTGATGATGATGATGATGATGAGGATGAGGAGGAGATGATGGAGCTTGTAGTCAGGAAAAGACTCCAGCAGGGTTTTTGCAGAGACACGTCTGATAACCTGCAAGTTTTCTATTTCTCTGTGTGTGTGTGTGAGAACTTAGTCAAACAAACGACGTCTGTGAGGAAAATGTTTTAGTAACGAAACGCGACCGTTGTTAGATTTGCTGAAAAATTCTATGATTGTAAATCGAGTCGTCGTTACTCATGACATGTCTTTTCCCAGGAATGAGATGGAGCGTCACTTCCTGGAGCTTCTCCAGTTTAATATCAACGTGCCAGCCAGTGTCTACGCCAAGTACTACTTTGATCTGCGGCAGCTGGCTGATGACAACAACCTCAGCTTCCCCCTGGAGCCTCTGAACAACCAGCGTGCCCAGAAACTCGAGGTGAGCTGCTCTCCCCAGACCTCGACTCACTTCTGCTCTTATTTGTGATATTTAACTTTCTTTGATTTCATTGTTCGCCCTCTGACCTCAGGCTACATCCTCTGCTATGTGTTATTTTCAGTCACTGTTGTGTTTACGTCTGCAGAGTCTTTGAGCAGCGTCAGGACTTTATTACCAGCGGTGTTGTTTGGTGTCTTTTTTCTGCCCAGGCCATTTCAAGACTATGTGAGGACAAGTACAAAGACCTGAGCCGAGCAGCGATCAGACGCTCCTTCAGCGCCGACAACCTGATAGGTATACGACGCTCCAACGCTGTGCTGTCATAGGCCGCCCTGCTGCCATCTGCCCTCGCTCAGAGTCCGGCTGACCCACAGTCCGCCCCCACACTAACACGGCTGCCCCACAGGGTTCACGCAGCCACGGCAGTATTCAGGCTTCAGAAGCTACAGTGTGAAGCTCAGCGGTGACTTACATCACAGCTGTAGAGCTGCATGATTGTGAAACCTCAAACTATTGTTTTTACAGTTCTCCTTTATTTATTTCTTAACTGGCCCTTGTTCCCATGATGACGTGTGTTAGAACTGACTCTGGTGCAGTCGCTCACCAAGTCTTGGTGATTGTCATTGAGATTACATCTTTGCAAAAATATTTCAACATAGCCTTAAAGATTAGATTGGTGTTAGGATTCACCAAATCCCATTAAAAAGATAAAAACAAAACCACCGTTGTGTAAGTCGGTTTCAAAACTTTCTGGCTCTTAACTCTGTGGCGGTTGAGACAGTTGGTTTGTTCTGTTGTTGGAGAAGAAAGACATCACACGGTTGTTCTCAGATCAGTTGGTTCCTGGTGTGTTTGGTTTGTTTTGGGATTTGTTGACAAGAAAAGAAACTTCACCAAAATGAAATATGACATAGGCACAACAAATTCAAAATACTAGAGCCGGGCGATATGGCCAAGAACATTATCCAGAAATCTTCTTGGTGAGCAGAGAATCACAAGCACTTGATAAATCTGAGGTACATTCAAATAATAACTGAGCAATATATCCATCTATATATTGGACTTTGGTTATATTTCTATTCATGCTCATTGTTTCGTGATGATTACTGTAGTTTTATGGCCCCGCCCTGAAAATGTTCCTTCTTGTAAATTAGAATTAAAACCAAAAGACATTTTGAGAGTGTAAATCAAATGTGTTTACTGTTGATACCAGTGGTGTTGCATCCTGTCTGAGTTAATTATCTACCTATTTGGATTTAGCATAGCATGTCTCAGATGAGAAGTATTAAAGTATAAATATTCTACAGCAGCTGTCTGAAGCCAGCACACCTTCAGTCAGGTGTGTGTGTGTGTGTGTCAGGGTGTCGGGTGCCAATCTGGGATCAGCTTCACTTTGGAGATAAACTCTACATGTGGTCAAACTGGACACATTTTACAGATTCTGGATCAGTTCTGCTACAGACTGGCTCCATGTAGCAGATTCAACATAATGTAGGTTTGGGTCCACGCTGTCCAGGCTCAGTATTCCCCCCCCGCCCCCGCCTCAAGGAGGCGCTCTACAGATCAACACGCCCCCGTGCTCGTCCCAGACCCCGACCAGAGCTTCTGAACGAACTACTTAGATGATGAGGGGCTGAAAGAGACTGATGGACACTCCCCTCCTTTTTGCTTACTGTGTAGGCCACTAGCTGTGAAACGTGTCTTGTTTTTAATTGAAAAGAAAAACATTTGCAGACGGAGTATTTTAAATAAACACTAATCATGTAACAAAGATGTGTTGTGTTCATTGCAAACTGTTGTGTGTTTGTGTGTCTGATCAGTGTGTGTGTGATTGATTTATCTCAACGATCGGTGTTCGACGCGTCCGAGCTGCAGCAGCCTCACCTGGAGCGAAGACCGCTGACGTCATGATGTCAAAAATGAACCTTCACCAAGTCCAGCAGCAATGAATTATGGGGAAAACGGACAATCTCGCAATGTTAAGGTCTCGCTACTCGTTTTTTATACTTTTGTGAACGAATGACTGTCGTGCTGCGTTGGATTCTGGTCTATGAGACGACCAGTAGGTTTAAAGATGGAGGACGATGGTACGAGCCGGCGACTTCTTGTGCGACTTCTCCTCATGTGACCGGAACAGACGACAACACGTTCAGTCAGCACGAAGCAGGTGAGACGACATGTTTCAGTGTCTTCAATGAGAAATGGATTTTATAGAAGAATTCAAAGTTAGAAGTTGATATTTGTGAATTTAAGTTTCTCACGGAAATTCAACTTTTGAGTCAATGAACGTTTAACAATTTAAAAAATATATTTTCTTCTTTTAAGCATAAATTTAAATACAAGTTGATCAACTTCTGAAAAAAACTGCTCTGTGCTGTTCGTTAAAAACAAAACTCAGTTTATTTTGTCACAGACACCAACTCCAGATCAACTCACTTTTAATTCCACAATATGAATCAAAAATCTACAACTTTTTAAAATCTTTTTTAAAGAGTTTATCTCGGTGTGAAAAACAGATTTACACTTCAACGTACAGACGAACCACGATGTCAGTTTTTTACCGACGCTCATCACTCGCACTATCACATTCGCTCAAATCAGACTAATAAATTACAGACATGTTTTCTAACACTTGGACACAGAAGTTTAGAGAGAACACGACACTGACGTCACAACACATCACGGCAGGAGGCAGGAAACAAACGGAGGATTATTTTATCCATAAATTCTGTTTTGTGATGTGACTGTTGACACTGATCTCTGGGGGACAGCGTCACCTTTCTTTAAGTTTCTGGTTGATAAGTTTCAGCTCATTTGTAGACTCCTGACACCGAACGTGACCTCTGACCTCTGAGAGAAGACCTGAGGCTCCTTCACATCATACGACAGCGAACAGATTCGTTGGCTCATCAAAGTTTTCACAAATTAAGTTTGAATACAGTCAGATGTGATAAATTCAAACCGTCCTCTAAAAACCTCTGATGATTATCTTTCAACTTAAGTTCTTCTTTATGCTTTGATTTGAAATAATTGACATATTCAGTGTGAGCTCATATTTTAGAACATTGCAGTTAGATTTCCAAAAGTCAGTATTACATAATATAATGACATATATTATATGTTACAGAGAGAATGTGTATATTCATTATTAATTAATTCATTTGCTTCAATTGTTTTGATCTATAATATTTGGGAAAATGATAAAAAATGCACATTTTTCCAAATCTGAAATTGATGTTTCCAAATTTCCTATTTTTTTTCCAAACTAAAAATATATGAATTCTTGCACAATGGTTTGAAACTAAAGCAAAATCTAACTGAAACTAATATAGAAATAAGTTTTGTAACTTGTCATTTATCAAACCCGTCTGTGGTGAAGTTATCTATTGTTACGTCTGTTCAGAGTCGGTGACATGAGATCATTAGAAAAACAGAGCAACGGTTCTCAAGCTGAGGTCCAGGGACCTGGAGGGGGACGCTGAGGGCATCAGTGAATCCACAGCACAAGAGTCAGAACAGAAATTAATTTTTAAAAAAGTAAATTATGTCGAACTAAATTAATCCAATTGTAGATTTTGTTGCCTCGAATATTTTTATATTTCATACTTGAGGGTCTCTGGTGTGATTCAGTTCCCCCGTCAACCAGCAGGTGGGGCTAAAGGTCAAGGGCAGTTCGTTCACATGTCATTGACAAAACTAATTGAAACTAAAGTCGTCCATTAAAACGACTGAATCCGTTTTTGATTCTCACTTTAAAGTCCGAGAAAAACCTTCGAGACAGTTTTCAGTTTGCAATCGTACAAAAACACTGGACGTCAAACTCAAACACTGATATGTACAAATTTATACACACTTCAAATCAGATGAGATCTGTTTCCCTGGTGTCTCACTCTCGACTTGTGGCAGTGACATTGGTTGTTTTCTAACTAGTCATCACACTATACAACTAATCTTCTCTTTTTTACATCAAATTTTTACAATATTTACATAAATAAATATGTTTTTCTCTCTCAGTGCTCGGGATAAACTAACAGGAAGAAGAACGGGAGATTCTATCGAGGCTCCATGTGTCTCTGACTGGAAAAAAAAAGAAGGTTTCCAGCTCTTTAAAGCTGTGAACTTGTTTGAATCATTTTTCTCAAATACTTTGTATTTTGTTGAATTTTTTTCCGGAGTCACTCCTGCAGGCGTTTGTCCACGTCTCGTTCTGTTTGGATCGTTTGTGTCCAAGTGTCCACAGAGGAAACTATTCAGTGTGAACGTGAACATAATAATAATAATAATAATAATAATAAGTCCAGTCAGCTCATATATGAGACGGAGCAGCTTTATGATAGATCCCTGACGTCAGCCCGGTTCCAGTGTGTCCAGTTAAAGCAGTACTGGCCTCACTGTACATGGAGGGTGGAGCAGTGGCCTTCTGCAGCCAGCAGGGGCAGCAGCGAGCCACAAACCTCCTCCAGGACTCGAGGGTTTTGCCCGACCAAATCCACACCCCGGAGGTGATGCCCACCACCAAGCACATGAAGTACTTGAGCATGAAGATGGCATAGTCCGGACCCAGACCCGAGCGCTGGCGCTCAGTCGGGCAGGAGCAGGCCAAGGCTCGCTCCCAGCCGGGCCGGTAGTGCTGCTCGTAGACCAGGCAGGCCACCACGATGGTGGCTGGGACGGTGTAGAGCACCGTGAAGAGCCCGATGCGGATCATCAGCCGCTCCAGTTTGTCCGTCTTGGTGCCGCCTTGCTTGATGATGCTTCTGATGCGGAAGAGAGAAACAAAGCCTGCGAGCAGAAAGAGGGAACCAGTGAAGAGGTAAACCACCAGAGGAGCAAGTACGAATCCCCGGAGGTTCTCCAGACTCTGGTTCCCCACGTAGCAGATCCCGGCCACAGGGTCCCCGTCCACAGAGCTGAGGGCCAGGACCACGATGGTCTTGACGCTGGGGATGAGCCAAGCGGCGAGGTGGAAATACTGAGAGTATCCGGCGATGGCCTCGCTGCCCCACTTCATCCCTGCAGCCAGGAACCAGGTGAAGGACAACACCACCCACCAGATGGAGCTGGCCATGCCGAAGAAGTACACCAACAAGAAGACCAGGGTGCAGAGAGCTGGGCCCGTGGTGTCGTAGAGGATGTGCAGCTGGTCACCACCACCGCCGCCGGCCCCACAGGCCACCCGCTCATGACCTGCCACCAGGCGGATGATGTAACCCAAGGAGACGAAGAGGTAGCAGGCAGCGAGGAAGATGATGGGCCTCTCTGGGTACTTGAAGCGCTCCATGTCAATGAGGAAGGTGGCCACGGTGGTCAAGGTGGAGATGAAGCACAGCACCGACCAGAGGCCCACCCAGAAGCTGGTGAAGGCCCGCTCATCAGCTGAGAAGTAGTGCTGGTGGCAGGGCTGGGCACAGTTGGGCAGGGGCCCGGTCTGGACCCGGCCGTACAGGGCGTGGGACTCCCTCTTGATGGGGACCAGCGGGTCCCTGCAGCGGCACTCCCTGTCGCACTGAGGGGGGCTCGGGAGCCTGGTCCGGCCTTTAGGGGTGGGTTTGGGGAACGGCGGGGCCAGCGTGGTGATCTCGCTGCTATTCTGGTCCATGCACAGGGTCTCGTCCCCCAGCTGAGGCAGCCGCTCGCAGCTCATCCTCTCGGGCCACTCGAAGCCGTACTGGCTCATGAGCGGGGAGCAGCCGCGCTTGGCCCGCTCGCACACGGAGCGGCAGGGCGGCAGCGGCTTGCGGTAGTCCGGCAGACAGATGGGGGTGTACATGCTGCACAGGAAGAAGAGCAGGTCCGGGGAGCAGTGGATGCGCACCAGGGGCCAGAACTGGTGCACCTCCAGGCCCACCTCCTCCTGGGTGTCGTGGTTGAACTGGTTGGGCATGTAGGTCAGGTTATAGACGATGCCCTTGCACATGGGCACCGTGATGGGCTCACACACCAGGTCCTTGGAGGCTGCGGAGGTGAGACCCGCACCGCGGAGGAGCAGCAGGAGAGAGAACACGAGGGGCCGCGGGAACACCGGGCTGCGTGGCGCGCACCTCCCCATGAGAGCCGCGAGGGAGAACAGTTCCAATAAGCTATTAATCTGAATTAATTCAGAGTCAAAGTGAGAAGAGTGAAGTTGGATTGAAGTTCCGCGTCCTGCAGCTCCACCACCGAGCTGTCAGTCATTCACCAGAGCTGCAGCTCTCATTGTGGAGAAAGTTCACGATGCAGTCACTTTAACAACCCGGGGGCAGTTTCTCTCCTCGCCGCAGGAAGAAGTCGCATCGTGAGACTCAAAAACAAAAAGACAACGAGACTCAAAAGTGTCCAGGAAACTTTTCAATCTGCAAGAAAGGGAAATAAAAGTCCACGAACTGAAATGTCTCCAAGTCGGTGCGTCTGGAAGCTGGTGCGTAAAAGCGCAGCCGGACGCGTCCTCTCCGGGTTTGTTCCCTCGGGAACATGGAAACATGTGAACTCACATGTTGGACTCAGTCTCTTCGTGAAGCTCCACGTGTGTTTTCTCTGCAGCGTCAACACGGTGATAATCCACAGTTTCCCTCAGAGGGCGGAGGAAAGAAAAACTCCTGGAGGTCGACAGAGCTGCAGCTTCTCTGAGCCTCAGGACGAAATCAGGTCTGAGAGGAGGTGCAGCTCCTCATCACACTCAGCGAGGCGTTCACAGCCCGTGGGAAATAATACCACTCCAAGGAAAATCAGGATTGGTATCATTGGCTCCTCTTTTGATGGAAGAGATTAAAACAAACTCAAATTTAAAAAAAGGACAGTTTTTCCAAGAATATTATACAAAATGATCCAACGCAACTTTATTCATCCTGAAGGCAGGTTATTTTATTTTATATTTATTTCAGCACCTTTCCAAAAAAATAGTTACGAGGTGCTTTACAAGTTAAAAACTGAAAGATTGAAGGTAAACGATAAGAAAGATAAACAAGTAAAACACAACATGAATGAAACAGAATTAAAAAGAGCAACTTCTTTAAAAAGAACACATTTGTTAGACATCATGAATATTTGGTCACATATTGTTTTTTACTTGGTTTAATTATTCATTTCCAATTGTTCGATCTTTGTATTAAACCTGTGTTTAATTTAATGTTTTTTCTGGAATTGGCTTTTTGAAAGTGGATCAAAAAACAGAGGTAAAATAAAACAACAAATTAAGGAAATTTAAAGCATTAGAAAAAATATTCGGCCATTTTTTGACAGTTACGCAATAATAATCAATAATACACCAATACAAGTATGTATCACTTGGATGTAATGAATTACTTTAGTACAGTAGTACTTTGATTTAGTACTTTTTGCTGTGAAATATCTGAATTACTATTTTAGGTAAATATTTTAGATTTTTCTTTATCAGAAGTCTCAATATAATCTTTAAAAAAAACTCTCCACACTTAGTATTCATGAATGTAT